TTGTGAAAAGGAATGCACTTTTTTGTGGTGTTCATGTTTTCTTAAGCTGATTATCTAGAACCTTTCGTGACACTTACTATAAGTTAGTAGAGTGATTTGTCTCATTATTTTAGAAAAAAATAATTAGATATTCTTGGCTTGGCCCAGCCTACTATATCTAATTTATTTTTTCTAAAAAGAAACCACATTGCTATATGAAAATTTAAAGCCAAAATGTTATCCAGTAACATGCAGTCACGGCCTGGATCCTTTAGGGAAAGTGGAAAAGTTGAGAGGTTTCAGGGAATCAAGCTTTTAGCATAACTAATAATATGGTATGTGTTATGCACTAACAAAAAGAGCTTCGTTATGTTTGTGTTATGTTTGCCAATGCTCAAGTTATATGACCAAATTACCTATAGCTCTGTCAAACTGTTCTGTATGTGCCATCTTCCTGGGTGACCTGATTGATATGTTAACCATTGCTACCCTCTGCAAAGGACAGATGTTATCCAAAATTAAGTGCTAAAATTAGTTGACAAAAGATTGTAAATTCCTGCAAGACCTCTCTGTCCTCTGCAAAGGGAAACAAAGTTCTTCCTCATTCCTTAGCAGATCAAGAATTTTCTCATTTCCTGATCCACGCCCATAAGCCATTCACTTTGTAAATGCTCTTTTTAAAAAAGTCTGTAAAAGTTTTAAGCCAGTTACACAGCTTTGCGAACTCTTAACTGCACTGTGTCCCTAGTACCAAGTAAAATAAATCAGTGCTGCTTTTTCTTCAAAAACATGTCTTGCCCATTTTTGGACACCAAATTGAGGGGCTCATTTTTGGGCTACAAGAGTATGCAATGATTGTAATAAAAATATATGACAAGTTCATATTTTTAAAGTGAGAAATAGATGAGATAAAATTAAAAGTACAAGGTTAGTTGAAGTAGGCAATAATTAAGATAGATGAAAGGTAGGCAACATAGGATTAGACAGAAACAATCTTTGGACCACAGTGTAAATCTGACACTTGTAAAAAGAGTGGAAAGAGAATGCAGTATTGAGCAAGAAGAGAAACCATTGTGATACAAATCTGGACAAGTCTTGGCAAGTCAAGTTGGAGACAATAAGTGTTGCCAATTAAGGAAGCCCTGCTGAGCTGTAGGAGCCTAGCCCTATTAATTCTGTCAGAGTCAGTTATTGGAGTCAGTTATCTCACAAGGAAAATCTTGGTTCCATCAGAAAACCTAAGCAACTCTTGAAGGTTTTTTACAGTCAGCTAAGCTAGTTAGAAATATTATAGGCAGTCAGACAGGGCTGGGCCCTCAAAGGAGCCAGAGTAAGTCCAGATACCTTGCAGCCTTGGAAGAGACAATCACCTCATGCTGTGGGCCAGAGGCAAGACAAGGCAAAGAAAATACACCCACATTTTAAAGATCCACAGTCTAAAATAGTTCGTTATTACCTGAGGAAGTCAAAAGTCTGCATCCTACCTCCCAACAGGAAGAGTCATGGCTGTTAAACATGTCTGCTTACTACTTGACTTGCTCTCCCATTTGTTCCTAATTTAATCAATTTTACCTGAGAAATTAGTCTTATTGGTTGACTACAGTTCTGTCCTACCTTGAAAATTCCCATTTTTCTCCACCTTGGACCCATCTCACTTCATGATTTTACTCTAGAAAAGTCTCTAGAAAAGACAGTCCATGGCAACCCGCTCAGGACCCCTTCTGTTTCTCTCAGACAAAAGCTTCCTTTCTCTCAATAAATACATTCTTGCTCTTAACCTCCACTGTTCCTAAAATTCATTCTTTGATTTTAGAGAACACAAACTCATAATGGACATAGGAGATTGAGAGTTTCATTCCTCTATATCAGTTTGAAAACCTGAAAGTATAGTTAATTAGCTTCCTTGTGGATAGACGGAATGTTCTTTCTTTAAGAGGTGATTGAAATGTTCTATGACTGATAGAAACTGTATATATAGTACATTGTGGACATTTTGAAATTCACTGGTATAGCACTCTCAACTCATAAATCTTTGGAGAGAAGTCACTATTTCCTGGCAAAAACAGCCAACAAATTCAAAGCAAATTGCAGTAATTTGCAGTCACAGTGTAGTTCCACAGCTTGGTTGCCACATCCTGAGTCTTGGCTATTCATGAAGTTGTGTTTTGTTTTTTGTTGTTTTTTATCTTTCTGAGACAGGGTTTCACTAAGAAGTTCAGGTTGGCCTTGAATTTACGTTGTAGCCCAGGATGGCCTCAAACTCACAGTGATCCTCCTACTTTTGCCTCTCAAGTGTTGAGATTATTGGCTTGAGCCATCATGGCCAGCCTGCATGGGGTTTTCTTATAGAGAGGATTTTCTATTTTATAGCTCTTTAAAATTTCAGTGGTACAAGCTGATAGGTTCAGGCTGGACATAAAGCCAGACAGAGCCAATAGGAAAAGGTGCTTACAGAACGTTGTACAATTACAAATAAAAAGTCAGTAATTAGATCTATGTTATTCTTTCAACTAGCTTTAAGTGTTTCTAGAGTGCATTTTACCTTATATCTTATAAAATCTCACTAAATAGATTTCTATTTTATTTTAAAAAAATATTTATTTACTTATTTTAAAACAAAGTTTCACTCTGCAGTTCAAGCTGGCTTTGAACTCACTAAATTATCCCAGGTTGGCCTCAAACTCGTGGCATTTCTCCTGCCCAGCTTTCCAAGTGTCAAGATTATAGACGCATGTCACCATGTCCAGCAAAATAGGCTTTTAGAATAAACTGATTTCTGAAGGAATATGAATTTTGATCATATTCAAAGATTAAATTTTATAGTTACTGATGAAAGTATGTCTAGTTTATTGGCTCAAATTATATCTATATATTAATATCAAGTGTTTTAATTCTTCTTTCATTGATATGTTACAAATGAGGTTGACTCCTTAACTGGTTAGCAAATCTCTAACAGTAATTATTGATTCCAAGTTTAAATAGTCTTATATATTTGTACTCAAAACTTATATCTTTTAAAACAAGCCTATACTCTTTCATGTTAAAAGATACTCAAAATTTATTAAAGTAACATGCACATTCATGTTTATAGCAGCACAATTCATAATAGCTAAATCTTGGAAGCACCCTTATGTCCATCAACAGATGAATGGATTAAAAACTGTGGTATTTATACACAATAAATTAGTACTTTTCCATAAAAAAATAAACCTGAGTCATTTGTAGAAAAGTGGATGCATCTTGAGATCATAATGTTAAGTGAAATGAAGGGGACCCACTAGCTTAAATATTGTATAGTTTTTCTTATATGAAAAACCTCAAATATAAATAAAGTACAAAATAAAAGATAGAAAATAAGAAATAGAGAGATTGATATTTTGTAAAAGGAAAAAAGATCAAAAGATAGGGAAAAGGGGTTGAAAAAAGGATTACAATGTGTTATGTATACATATCAACTTCCCAGGAGGAAAGAAAGCATTATGTACTGAAAATATATACTAATAAAAAATTGAATTTGAGAAAAATGTATTTAACATAACAGCACATTTTATTCTTTAAGGCATAGCCATTTCTGTCTTGATCTCATCAAATTCATAAGAAATAATCACTTTTTAAAAATTCCAGTATTATTTTCTTCCAGGACAAATAATCTTACACTCACTGATATTTTGTCTTATGTTAACAATAAAACAAAAATTAATGTGAACCAGACAGAAGACAGGTGAGATAACACCTAGTACTTGGTGACTTTATAAGTTAAGCACACAATCTGAAAACCTTTTATTTTGTGCAATATGTAAACAGTTAGATTTTAGTATGAATTATTTTTTTCACTCAGAACAAATCAGAATATCATTTGATTCATAAAATTATTTAAGTCATATGCATTTTGGAACTTTTGCTCTAATTGATACCAGTTCCTGATATAAGGCTAAATTTATAAAATATGCTGATAGAAAAAAGATGTGTTTTTAAATAGAAAAATGAAGAATATTATATCCTCTGGCTTAATAAAGATTGATTGCATGTTTTTTTCTTTTTTAGTAAAAGAACAACGTTTGCTCACCCTGTTTGGTAAGATCTTATACTAGATCTTTATATAGTTTTACTGCTATCACAACACTAAAACAGAAAAAGAAGATAACCCCAACTGAAAATTTGTCATTTAGAATATTAACTTTTCATTCATAAATATTTACTCATTTACTCACTCATGTAAAGCATTGTTCCCTGAAATCAAGATTCTATATGAACAAAATAAAGCTGCTACGTTTATATGAGCATGTACTGCAGTACCTTTGTGAGGGGCAGAGTCAAAAGAAAACAACAAGCAAATGGGAACAAACAACCCATTAATATAAAGCAAAGTAAAACAAGATTAATAGTGGACAAGGAATCATAGACAAATGGGAACATTGCCTGCAAATTACCCCTCCTGATTCCATCTCATGAAAAATAAATTAGTGAAGAAAAGCATAGCATTTGATTTCTCCTCAAATCATGTGTGTGTGTGTGTGTGTGTGTGTGTGTGTGTGTGTGTGTGTTGTTTCTTCCAGATAATAATAAAACAAAACTTGATTGTAACTTTTTCTAAGAATAATAACTGAACCAAATTAAGGTGTAGAAATTTTGTAATAGTGTTCAGTTGTAAGGCAAAGTGACAAACTAGAACTCTGGGAGATTGAGGTAAAAGGAGCGTGAAGTTGACCCCAACCTGTAACTCACCCATTTAGAGAGACCCTGCCCCAAAATAAAGAACTAAATAAAAGGATGGGGATATAGCTTGCTATGGAATGAAAACTGATGGTCAACTAAACACAAGCTGAATTGAATCAGCGTGGTGCTGAACGTAGATGGCCCAGCTATCTTAGCCAGATCTTAGAAATAACTTTAAGTGTCCATCAACTGAGGAATGGATAAAAAAAAGTTGTGGTATTTTTATACAATGGAGTACTACTAGCTATAAAGAATGATCACATTGAGATATTTATAAGTAAATTTCTAAGTAAATGGATGCAAGTTGTGACTGTACTCACAAGTGAAATAAATCAAACTCACATGTATAAATACCATATAGTTTCCCTAGTTTAAGAAATGATGAGTACCTAAGATTTTCTTGTAATCATGATTTCCCATTATATTGCTTTGAAGCCTTACAACGTTTTATTCATTTGTTGGAATGGTTTTTTTCTGTTTTGTTTGATTTTATTATGTGTGATTGTATGAACAGCTACTTTTAAGAAAACAAGATAGTATGGCAGTCATTGCTGATTTAATACCATCTTGCTTTGAAGTCCTATAATGTTTTTTTTTTGTTCTGTTTCCATTGGTACTATCTTGTTGTGTCTTATTGGATTTTAATATGTGTGATAGTATAAACAAACTTTTTAAAGAAAATGAGATATTATAGTAGGTATTATTCATTTTCTGTTATTTGGTTTTGAATGTCCTGTAATACTTTCATTCTTTTGAGTGGTTTTATACTATTTCATTGTATTTGATATTATTGTGTGTGAATGTAGGCTGAACTATTTCAAAGAAAAGAGACATTGTGGTAGCTACAGTTAATATCTGGTTGTCTTGCTGGGAAGTGCTGTGTTGCTTGCATTGTTCTGTTCTTATTTGCTTTGTTTTAATCTCTTTTGTTTTATTCTCTTTAAAATAAAAAATATAAAACCCTGTTAAAATGACTAGAAAATAAGCAACAGATCGGAATAGGCAAAAATATTTTTGAACATATCTGAACTGATATAAAAGTAGTCTAGAATATTAACTCTTACATAACCGCTTAATAAGAAAATAGCAAAAAAACCAATATAGTAGTTATATACAGACATTTCATAAAAGGTATTACAATGGCATATATCACATAACAAGATGATCAATATTATTACTTCAGAGAAGTGTAAAGATCACATTGGGATACTAAATGTAGCCTCCACCCCCCTATGAGAATGGCTAAAACTTGGCAGGATGATATTAACAAGTGGAGACAAAATGAAGAGCAGCTAAAATTTTCATATATCATTAATATGGATATAAAGTATATGGAGACTTTGAGAAAACAGGTTTGGAGCTTCTTAGAAAATTAGACATATGGTTACTAAGCAAGCTCCCAATGGTGCTTCGTGTTTACCCAAAGAAGTGGGTACACACGCCAAAAAATGGGGCAACCAAATTCTTCTTCTTTTAGGAAATTTCAATAAACACTATGTATGAGAGCGTTAGCTGTTCTTCCAGAGGTACTGAGATTTGCTCCATGTTTTAGCATCCTCCTTTACTTCCTTTGATAAATATGTGTTTGCCTCCTTTTGTTAATTAACTATGTCAATTGAGGTAAGTACTATTTTTGAAATAGGAATGAGTTTTTCTAAATAGTGGGAGAAAATGGGAAACTCCAAGTCTACTGTCTTGAAGCTCCCTGCACTTTGTATGACCTAGATTTTACAAACACCTGTGGGAAAAATTCACACATGTTTAGTGATCCTTTTTTTTTTTTTTTTTTTTTTACTCTCTGCCCAAGGAAAAGCAAAAATATTCCTCTGCCTGGCAAGTCCAATGCTAGACCAAGACTGGAGTCTGTAAATTGAGAAATATTCCTGTATTATAAAAACAAATATGTGAGACATTTAACATAAAATTAACTTAATTTTCAAATATTTATTTGTCTTTTTGAAATTTATCTTTCAATCTTCTTAAAAGTTTATACAAAGAGCCAATGTGTTGTTTACCAGAAATACAGATTGGATCAGGACATTTCCCTTTAAAAATCTTTATCTTTTTTTTAAAGAATAAATTTCCAATGATGATACCAAAACTTCGCACGATCTCATCTTAATTACTTCTCTGGTGACTATCCCCCACTGTGGGGATCTTCTCAGGAGAATCAATGACCACTCAAATTTAACTTGTTTTCTCATATATGAATAATAGAACTGTATCTCCACAACTTTACTCCATATTGATTCAAAGTAGAAGACAACAGCCAACCTCTCTGCCTATGAAAATCTTATTTTTCTTTCCCGACTCCACTGACGGTGGTTAGAAATATATTCATCTTCCTTTTAAGTTCCAATCAATGCTTGCAGCACTGCATAACATTCATGCTTGCTCATCCTTTACTGTGTATTCCTTGGTCCCAGAAACTCCTGGAAGAAGAGATATACATCATGTATTGTGCATGAATATGTGCTAAATTATTTCTCAAACTAATATAACAGCTGATTTTGTTATATAAATATGGTTTGCTGATAGAAAACAGCTCTAATATTTTATAGTAACAACCCAATACCTTTTCCATTTCACTTATCATTTTAAAATATTTTAATTGCACATTAATGAGGTTCAACGTGATATTTTTATACATGCATACACATTTTGTCTAGTTATGTTTCTACCAATTATCTACTTTAAAAGTGTACAAAATACACATTGCTTGCTAAAACATGCTTATTTTTCCTTTGAAGACAGAGTCCTAAATACCAGTTTTTCTAATATGTCTGCATATAGTGTTTTATGCATACCCCTTTCTACATAAAGATATTTCAGTGATCTCAATATACTGAGATCAGAGGAGCTAAGATAAAAATTCAGTAAGTGGACGAATTCCTCAATTTGTAAAATATTTTCATGAACACTTTAATTTTATGAGTGATGTGCTGTAAACTTTATTCAGACTGTTTAGAAATAGCACATTCATTGTATGGTTAGTCATCAGTATTACTCTCTTAAGAGAAAAAAAAAACAGTTTTTGGTTGGAAGAAAGTTATATCTTCCCTATATTGTAAATAGCAAGACATCATAGGATAGGTTGAGAGTTATAAAATGTCTATCTTTCAAGAGCTGGAAAATAAAGGGTAAAATGAGTATCATCCTGGCACTGATGCACACAGAACAAAATATTCAATAAAATTATTAATTATTCATAGTTTATTATTTTTATTATTTATATAGGTAATATACTTCAACTGGTTCTTTAAAAATGGAAATATTTAAATATGAAATACTGAAATGTATTATAAGGACAAAGCCAGAATAGGTGCAAATTCTTCAGCTTCATTGGTCACTGCGTGAGGATTAATGTAATCCCAATTTTCTTCACTTTCTAAATTCTAGCAGGTCATGTTCTTTAATATTAAATGTTACTGGAAATAGGAAATCCAATTGACTGAGCAACTTAAGGAAAACTATTGGCCTATATTTGGGATGTACAATTGAGAATGTGAGTAAAAATAAAAATATTTTTAAAGAAAATGTGGTTCTTTATCCAACAGAATGATAAACACCTGCCCTCAAAAGCCCTGGCAAGCAGCGTTATACTAACTCACATTGTAAGCTTAAATGCAGAAAGTGAAATGACTTGCCCATAGCCATAAAACCTATTATTAGAATAAGGATTAGGAACTTCTTTTAAATAGGATTAGGACCCAAATCTTCTGTCAAACTTTCTATACAACAATTTGTTTTCTTCTATTTTCATCAATTAGAACAATTAGAAATTCATTGTCTATTAAAAACATTTTAATGTTTAATGTAGCAAAAACTACAAGATGATTGAGTTTAATTTAAAATTTTTCAGGTTTCTCTTTCTTTTTTTCCTTTCTTAAACTCTTTCCTTTCCTTTGTACTTTCTTTCTTTCCTTTCTTTCTTGCTGTTGGTACTAGGAATGGAGACAGGAGCGTCACACTGAGTTATATCCCCCTTTTTATATATATTTTTTAAAAAATTTTTTGAGACAGATTCTCTTTAAAATGCTAAGTAGTTCAGGTGGGGTTCCAAACTATGTAGGTCTTATATCAACCTCCCATGCCAGGAATACAGGCCAAATACTTTTTCTTATTCAAAATTTTTATACCTGGTAAAGTTGAATATCCCTATACATATAAATAAAAAATTTACTTTAAAAATAGTGTTTTCAATTTTCCATTTTATGGAGCAGTCTAATTAATTTTTCAAATTTAGTTGTTTGGAAGTCGATGGTTGAGTTTCCTGCTTTCATTGGTAGAATTCCTGATCCAAATGGCTAGCACTTTAAAGTAATTTCTGTTGTGTGGCTTTGATGCTGGTGTAGTCATTGTCTCAGTGCTAGGGTGAAATACTCAGCCCCCAGAACTTTAACGGAAGAGAGATTTATTTTGGCATACGTTTGACAAAATTCACTCTGTGGCTGGCTTTAGCACAGAAATGGCATTGCAGGGAAGTAGGGAGGAACATGGATCAACCCAGGGCACCAAGGAAGCAGAGAGAGAAGGGAGAAGTTGTAAACAAGAAGATATTTCGGGGTCATGCCTCCAGTGACCCAACTCCAACCAGACCCTACTTCCTAGCATCACATTCAACTACCTACATGTCTTCCAAATACATGTGACACTGGGAGTACATTCTTCTCTAAATTATAAATTTTCTATTTCAGTCTTAATAGCTACATGTTCTATTATCACCCTGTCTACTGATCATACTATCCTTGTAAGTGCCTACTGATGGAGGCAAGTCTATGTCTCCAGTGACCCCTGATCCCTACAACTACCACTGAGCATGTTCCAGGACAAGCCTGCTTCTTATATCATTTCAGGTCACTTACCTTTTCACTCTCCGTGTGAACAGCTGGGAGAGACGGCTTGCTGCACTGCTTTCTAGAAAAGGGGGAAAAGAATTGTAGTGTGAACCACTTTGATCACTTACTTCCAACAACAGCAGCTGTTGGCAGATTTGAGTTTCCCATTAATAGCAAGCATCTAATTTTACACACAGGAAAAGAATGATTTATAGAAGATCTACAAGATTATTGCTGCTGCTATTGCAAACAGAGCTTCTTTTCTGTTCCCCGGTGCTGGAAATGGAACTCAGACCCTTGGGCATGCTAGGAGAGCATTCTCCCACTGAGTCACATGGCTGCCCCCAGAGATTCTTAGTACAGGAAATCTATCACACTTCCACCCTTGCAGCAAACTTAATGCAAACATTTCTGTTAAAAATGCATTAGCGCAACCGAAAACTATAGCAGTTTGTTTAGCACTCCATATACCCCTTCTTTACATCAGTGTGTGTTCCCAGGAATGTCTGTCTTATATGTTATTTTATGACACTTTATTATTACTATTTTCTTGGTTTCTGAGAAATTTGTTAATTGGAAATATTACTGTTTTTTCTTCCTTCTTGGAAGGTAAGTTTTGAAAGAATAAGCAGAAACTAAACAGGGTAGAAGTAGAATTGAAATATATTTAACCATCCATAGTAAACTTGGTCAATATTAACAGTGGCATAATTGCCAGGTCAATTAAAATAGTTATCCCTCCATCCTCTTTCTTAAGAAGTCCATACTATCAGACAGCTTAGCAAGAATAAGACAGTTGAAATGAGACAAGGTTTATAATAATTCCACTCCTAAATCTTTGGTTTATTCTTAAATTACAAAGAGAGTAGAAAACTACTTAATGACTTTTAATCACCCTGTACCCTGTGACTTTATCCATGTGGGTGGTTACTGAAAAGACTTGGAAACTTTTATTCCTCCACTTTTATTCTCAACTTTATCATCCATACAATAAACAGTCAAATTTAACTGTGAACCGGAGAATGCACAATTTTTGGTTTCTTAGAAAAACACTGACAATTTAGACTTTGGTGTCAGGGCGTTACCCTTATCAAGAGACACTATAAATAATTTTTCAAATTTATAATTATATATTATGTGAATATAGCCATTTCAATGTATTCCTCTGCATATATTCCTTTTTAAGACATTTATCAGAAAATCTTCATTCATAATATCAAGTCCATAATGAACTTTTAAAATTTGTGTTCTTAAAAATCTCACTAACTCTAGGCACTTAATAATTGGTCATTGTGTCATTGATAGCTAAAAATATCCATACCACATCTGATGTCATCTGTAATGAATGAATGGTTTTTAATTTTTTGATTTTTTATTCTGGTCTTCACTTCATATTCTTAGTTTTGTGCATTCTTTCTTGTCCTTTTTTGAAAATCATTTTTACATTTAAGCTACGTGATTGTATTTATATAACCTGAAAGTGGTTAGAAACATAACGTGAGTTAAGTCGAAGAATAAATAAGCAAGTTAATACATAGGTTTTGTAACAATTTATAAGTAAATTTAAGCAATTTATTTCATCTTTCCAAATATTTTTTCTTTTCATGCAATAATTGAAACACTAGCTGCTGATATAATGTTTTGAAAATTAAAATGATTCTAAGTACCGCATTCCAGCCCTGGAATCTATTAAATAATTTTAACAATTAATTATCTGAATTTGTATTCAGCCCTAAGGATAAAACTTCAAGAGATTCAATGATAAATTAAAGTGTAGTCAAAAGTTAACAAAGACACTTGATGTTTTTCTTGGGGGAAATTGGAATAGCTACATTGAAACAAGATCCTTATTTTCTTTGAAATAGAATGTAAGTTCAAAATACAGCCCTGAGTGCGTTTGTGTGTATTCACATATGTACTTGAGTGTGTGTAAATAACCAAAGATGGCATCATGAAAAACACCACTCAAAACTGTCAATCATGGCTACTTGTTAGATGAGATTCAAGAAGAGAGGATTTCACATTTTAATGCACATTTTTTTTAGCCTCCCTGTGGATTGAACCTGGGAACTCACACATGCCAGGCAAACACTACATCACTAAACAACTCCCCCTAGTCCTGACACACTTGTTTAAATAGAAAAAAAGATAGAGAATACATTGTAGGGATCACAGGAAATTTTGACACTCTTTTCTACTTTTTCTGTTTTTCTTCTTTCCTCTGTTTAGTATGTTAATCAAAGACAAGAATATTACATTAAGATTAACAACTGAAGAAAAATACTGACAGCTATACGAGAAGTCCAGAAATCACTTTATAATAGGAGAAAAACATCTAGACATTTAACTTAAAGTTGAGATGAAGGAGGAGGAAATACAGCTCCCTGAAAATATGTTAAATGCTCTGAAGTAAAAAATGATTTACATTCACTCAGTTGTGCCTCAAAAATGGCAAATGGTCTTGGCGAAAGAAGTAACAACACAAACAGAACAAAGTGAATCTTGACTAAACTGTCACTCAGTGTCAGTGCTGAGATGTCAGATGCCATGTTTCCCTGGTGTCACATGCAGGTGAAAGAGACTAAAGTGAATATAATTAGGTTCTCAAATAACACCTGCACTACTGTTTTCTGTACATAATAAATGGGAAAAATATCTATCTGAAGGCTTGAGTAGTAGTGTTTATCTAGAATGCACAACTGTCTGAGTTTGACCGTTAGCACTACTAAGAAGAAAGACAAAAATATATCTCTTTTGATATATATAAAAAGTCTTGGTTAAAAATAATCTACAAGCTATTCTTTGGGTAAACAATTTATTTCACATAAAATGTGCAAGATAGCAATACAGGGATAATTAAAATGTACCTATCCCTTCAAAGACCTATGGTCCTATTAGAAAAGTATTCACAAATAGGTAATTTCAAAAATAAGATAATTATTAGGGTAGAAACACATATAAGTACATAAGCATGGCAAAGATATTCACAATAACAAAACTCAGGCATCAAATATAGGCACTCTACTAGTATTGATAATATTCATTTTAGAATATTAGCCAAGTGTAAACACAAATTGGTATATATGTAAAATTTGAAACAATATAATTTCAACTTTGAGCGTCATCTACATGTGCTTATACTTCTAGACTATTATATGGATAGATAGGAGTAGATGGCTGAGGCGTCTCAAGGCATTCATATAACTATTGGAAGATTAAAAATGCCTAAAAATCAAGAAAAAGGAAAGACTTTTCAATGAGATAAAGGATTTGACTACAGTGTAATTGCAAAGGAGGCAAAGATGCAATTCCAGTTTTGAAAGGTATAAATTATGCAAGTGATTTCAACAGCAGGGGGCTTATTTGCCCTGATGTGAAGATGTTGTGACGCTCATGAATTTCAAGTTGTTAAATTAAGCACAAAGAGTTTGCAGCTTTGTTAGGGCAAATGAAAGGCAAGCTATGCCAACAGAGGTTAATGCTATGGCTCTCTCTTACATGAGAGAGTCCAGTGCCATCCTCTTCTCACACTGAAGGAGGAAGAGTGCTGTCTGATCATTGCAAGGAAGGTCACAGATGATGGAGGTGGTGTGGGTCTAAGTGTTTGGAAGCTCTATCTAAACACAGAACGGAACTCCTACAACTACCAGTTATGATGCTTAAATGCTGTGCATTAGTTTCCTTCTCCCAATATTTTCTTTTAGTGATGTTTTCCTCTTTCCTCACAAGTAGCAAGTGATATGAGAAGCATCTGCCCTAAGTACAGTACAAGTACTAGGCACATAGTGTACCATAGTTCAGCAAGGAACCCAAAGTTTCCACTATCTTAACTGTTATAATTTGTTTAACACTTAATCCATTCAAAATATGCTCAAAAACAAAATAAATAATTTTAAAAATTATATTTAATGCAACTAAAAATAACAAAATAATTGCCTGCTGTTTTGGCCAGGTTTTCTCCAATTACTGAGTTGTCAATTCTACCAATTGAGTCAGGTATTTCAGACTCTCAAAAAAAAGTAATATTGATCCCAAAGAAGGTCAATCCAATATTCTCATAGTGCTATCTATATTGGACACCATATACATTTGCATTTTCCCTCATTTTATTTCGGTAGAATCTTAATATACTGCAGCCCAAGCAGATGAGACAAAAACGGGCCATCAAAGGAATTGCATTAGGAGAGTGTATTTCAGACATTTGCTAAGTGGGCAAACTCAGTAACAAAGTCAGATTCCTGAAGCAAGTGGAATCTGATGCAGATGAAGGCCAGATCAATAGGCTTTTAAATCACAGAGAAGATGAGCAGCAGCAAGTGAAATTGAAGTGGTTCTTTGTTTGAGTTAACTTTTTCTGTCAGCGTGTGTTTTATCTTGGGTTGAAACCATTTTAAAAATCATTAAAGGGCTCTTTTTAAGTATAAAAATGTAAATACATGTTTTTCACTCATATTCTTTTAAAGGTTGATGAAAAGAATTTTTCAGATGCACATTTTGTCAACCTATGTCTCTTAGTAACTTGATTTTAACAGATATAATTTAAAAAGTTAGATATCATAAAACATGTAGTAACCTTGAGTAATATATCCATAATTATTGAATCCATTGCTGTTTTTGATAACTGTTTAATGGTTCATTTAAGCTAGAGGGGTTTTTTTATCCTCAAGGAAGGTTGTTCTCTTATGTCTGCATTGTTTCTTTTATCACTAACACATTTTATCAGTATATTGCATTAGAACAAGTTTACCTTGATATTTTGCTTTGTAAATTCTAAGCACAATAAAACGTGCTTCTGAAGAAATGTTTAAAATACATATGGTAAAGTGTTGGGTATTCAGCTCAGTGGCATAAGCACTTGCATGGCAAGCACAAGGTTGTGAGTTTGATCCCCAGTACAAAAAAAAAAAAAGACTAAAATATATATGGTAGTAATTTATCATTATTGAGAAGTATTTGCTTTCAAATTTTGATACTATATTATGGTAATAAAATTTAACACTAATATTAATCATACCAAATAGAAGATAAGAAAAAGATACTCAGAGTAATTCTCAAAAGATCTAATGATCTTAAAGCACC